CAGCAGGGCCAGGGCATGGGGACCCTTCAACGCTATCTGCAGGCCCAGGCTGTGGGGACCACTCTTACTTTTCAGCAGGCCCAGGCCGTGGGGACCACTCTGACCCTGCAGCAGGCCCAGGCCCGGGGGACCACTCTTACTAATCAGCAGGGCCAGGGCATGGGGACCACTCTTACCCATCTGAAGGCCCAGGCTGTGGGGACCACTCTGACCCTGCAGCAGGCCCAGGTGCGGGGGACCACTCTGACCCTGCAGCAGGCCCAGGCCCTGGGGACCTCTCTTACTAATCAGCAGGGCCAGGGCATGGGGACCACTCTTACTAATCAGCAGAGCCAGGGCATGGGGACTACTCTTACCCATCAGGAGGCCCACACCCTGGGGACCACTCTCACCCCAAAGCAGGCACAGGCAGTGGGGACCTCTCTGACCCTGCAGCAGGCCCAGGCACTGGGGACCTCTCTGACCCTGCAGCAGGCCCAGGCCGTGGGAACCACTCTTACCGATCAGCAGGCCCAGGCCCTGGGGACCTCTCTGACCACCCTGCAAGCCCAGGACCTAGGGATCACTCAGGCCCTGGCCCTGAGGACCACTCTGGCCCCTCACCACACTCAGACTCAGGGGGCCCACCTTACCCCTGACACGGCCCCTCCTACTCCAGGGCAGCCCCTTGAGCTGGAGGCAGTGAGGCCTAAGCAGGACTTTCCTCAAACTGCCCGGCCACCTCCACCAATGAAGGCCCCACTCACTCCCAGGTGGCCTATTAGATCTGGAACAACATCCACCTCTACAAAGAGCCCAGGTCTCCATGGTCCTCTCTCTCCTGGCCAGTCCTTGGCTCCCGGGCCGCCTTCCTTCCCTGGAGCGCTCTTGGAGTCTGGACCCTCCTCTGCACAGCCTCCGGCACACCAGCCTCCTGTCTCCATTGGGCAGCCCCCCTCTCTCCAGGCCCCTTCTGCCCTTGCACAACATCTGGCACCACCGACCCTTCCTGGAGAAACTTCATCATGGATCGCTCCCGGCTCTGCGCATCCCTCCACATCATGGACCCCCTCAGCTGCTGGAATGCCCCAGAAAGGTGTGGCCTCTTCTGGGAGGAAGAAAGGACTGGTAAGGATTGCTTCCCAGAAATTGGTCCAACCCAGTCCTCCGGGTTGGAAGAGAGATCTCACTCCACTCATTGCCAGCAAGCCTTCTGCAGAAACCCAAACACCTCAGGAGTCTTCACCCATGGAGCTTCAGTCCCATCTCTCCAGCGACAGCACACCAACATCATGCATCACTTACACCGATGGGGGGACCCTGCAGTCTCTGCAGAAGCCTAAAACATCACTGCCTTCTCTCGCTCCTCAACTAACACCAGCATCACAGGTCCCTTTCACTAATGAGGGGGTCCTGCACACTCGACAGAGGTCGAGAATGGCCCTGCCTTCCATCACTGCTCAACTGTCCCCGCCGGCACGGGTCCCTTTCACTAATGAGGAAATCCTGCACACTCGGCAGAAGCCTAGAACATCACTGCCTTCTGCCACACCTCAGATATCCAAGACATCACAGAAACCTCTTTCTCAGTGGGCCTCGAAATCCCAACACCCCTCTCTAGATACACCACGGTTCATGAAGCAGTTCAGACATCACAAAGACAAATGATGTGCCCCCTTCTCTCCAAGAGCTGGAGGAAGATGTGTTTGTTGACGTGAGACTCAGAGGAGACCTGATGCTATGAATCAGCCTACACTATGGACTCCTTCCCCACTCCACACAGCAGCTAGGAATCTCATCATCGAGACCCTTCACACAGACCAGGTTCGGCTAGGATACCTGTTCCACAAGTACACTGCCCACAGGCTGATCCAGCGCTTCAGGTAGATAATTCTCCAATGATCTAGCTGATTTATGCCCAGCTTTTTCCTGAACAGTCTGATATCAAATATCCTCCCTCCTTGCCCTAGAAGTATATTCATGTTTGTCAGATTGCATATTGTAAAAGAACCTTTTATTGAAGATATGTAGGGTGGAAGCCTGTTTAAGACAGCAAAAGGAGACATTTTTAAGTGAATAAGAAATGGCGAATAAGATCCATTTCATTCTTTCATATCTCAAGCAGAGATGCTAAGGCATGTTTTGTGAATCATGGTTGATCTCCAAAAGATCAACTTCTAAAGGTCAGAGATGCCGGCTGGTCACTCTGAGTTTCTTTCATCTTCAGTTCACCAGAAGATGTAGGGTTTTTATTTCTTTTTTAAAAATAATGTTTAATTACATTCATTTTAAAAATTCACTTGCGAGATAGAGAGAATACTTCCATCTCCTGGTTTACTCCCCAAATGCCCACGTGGGGCAGAAGTGGATCAGGACCAAAGCTCAGAGCTAAGAATAAAATCCTAGTCTCTTCAAATTGGCAGAGACACAACTTGCATCATCACTGCTGCCTCCCAAGGTCTGCATTAACAGGAACCTGAAATCAGGAAGCAGAGTAGGTATCAAACCCTGACACTTTGGTATGGAAATGGGCATCTTAGCCACTAGCTTAATGGGTGACTTACCGGCTAGACCAAATCAACTACCCCAGTTGATGTACGATCTTTAAAAATGGAGATGGACACTGATGTATGGCCTATCAGCTAAGACAACCTGTTAGCATCCTTATATCCTATATCAGAGTAATTGTGTTGAATCCCTGAATCCGGCTCCCGATCCTGATTCCAGATTCCTACTAATGCGGATCCTAGGAGGCAGAGGTGATGGCCAAGTGACTGGGTTCCTGTCAACCACATGGGAGCCCTGGTTGAGTTCCCAGCTCACAGTTTAGCACACCGACCACCCCCTCAGTGTGGCAGGTGTTTGAGGGAGTAACCAGCAAATGGGAGTTCCTGCTCTGTCTTTTTTCTGCTTTGAAATAAACATTTTTAAAAAGAGAAGTTAATTTTTTAACAAGTTGTTCATTTTACTTACTTGAAAGGCAGAGAGACTGAGAGAATCTCCCACCCACCCAGTGATTTACTCCCCCAAATAGTTTCAACAGTTGGGCTGGGCCAAGCTGGAGCCAGGAGCCAGGAACTCAATGCACATTTACCCTGTGGGTGGTAGGAACCCAACTCCTTGAGCCATCACCTCTGCCTCCTAGGGTGTGCATCAGCAGGAAGCTGCACTGGGAGCAGGAAGCAGGTATGGAACCCAAGAACTCCAACACATGATGGCGAGCTTCCCAAGTGTCACCCAAACCACTGTGTCGAATGTCCACCCCAACGAACAGATGTTTAAAAAGACTAGCATGGGGTATAACACTTTTTGTTCATTGCCAATACAACAGATCAAATGTGGAATCTCATTGTTTTAGTTTGCATTGCTTTGTTGTGGGTGAGGCTAAGTATCTTTCATAGACATCAGATCCATCTGCATTTCATTTCCTGTGAAGATCCTATTCAAATACTTTGCCCATTTTTCAATAGTTACCAAGTTTTCATGAAATGGATTCATGTGCCCTATTCAAATACTTGGAAAAGTAGCCCCTGGCCTAATTCCACCCACTTGTGTTTTTACTCCACTCTTGGTAATTTTGGGTTTGTAGAAAATTCTTATTTTTATTTGCTGGTTTGATTTATTAAGATAGGCCTTCTGCATTCTGAGATTACTAAATTTTTCCTGGATTTCTTTGGGTGTCTTTAAGGTTGGTTATTAGCTTGATTGCTTGTCTTACAGTTAAGTCAGATCCTTAATTTTCTACAGTAGTAGATGGACTTTGCTGGGGTGTTTTTCACATGGCTACTCAGTTGCCCCCTAGCGTTTTTAAATTATTTATTCATTTGAATGCCACAGCGATGGAGAAAGAGATCTTCTTTCTGATGATTCACTTACCATATGGCCATATCTGACAGGTCTGGGCCAGGCTCTAGCCAGGAGCCAGGACTTTCACCCAGGTCTCTCACAAGGGTGATAAAGGGCCAAAGTACTCGAGTCATTTTCTACTGCTATACCTGGTTTATTAGCAGGGACCTGAGTCAGAAGGCCAGTAGCTGAAACTCAAACCTGCACTCTGATATGGGACGTGAGCATCACGTGGTCACTCAACCCACTCTGCCACAAAACTTGCTGCCCATGTTTTTTTTCTAGGAAAATTCCACATTCAAGGGGTTTAAAAATACCCTTTACCTTTACATTCTCCTTTTTGAGAAGTTGTGAAGTACTTTTTGTTTTCTTAAGTAGCACAGATGTATAACTGAACCAACCAGTAACACAGGACTTGGGGAAAAAGAGAAAGTCAACCCCTAACTAAGCATGTCCTGCTTTCCAGACAACGGTGACCTCTTCATCTTGATAGGATTAAGATGGCAGTGCCCCTGATGCAGGATCAGTAGGTGCGCCTTTCCTGTTGCAGCTCCTTATAGCTGCAGCCTGATTCTTTTCCATTGTCTCCTCTGGGAGTGCCACCTGATTTCATTACTAGTTTTCAACTGAATCCACTGAAGAATGGGGTGAATTTTTGCCTTTTGCCCAGGAATCTCTTTCTGTGAAAGTCTTATGAGAAGACTTGGCAAGGCAGAGTCAGGCACACTCACAACAATGGCAGAGAAAATACAAAACATCCTTAAACTTGGTCAGTTTCACTCCCAGTATAAACTTCCTGGAATGTGTTGTGAAATCTGTAATATTTTATTAGGGGCTTTTTAACTGGTATTCATGAGTAAGTTTGGCAGATGGTTTACTTCTATGGTTTACCTTTATCAAATTTTGCTATGATTCTAATTTTGTACCATTAAAAGAAGTATGGATGTTCATCTCTTTATACTCTGGAAAAGTTTAATAGGAAAGTTAGCTGATCTTTGAATATTTGGTGGATTTCACCTATGATATTATAGGGACTTGGCACTCTTTTGGAGTTCTTTGACAGCTTTCCAGTGTTTACATAACAGCTTATTTGAAAGATTTATTGATGATGTTGAATACCTCAGCAACAGGAACACTTACTTCAGTAAAATAATTTAAAAATTGAAATATATAAATCAACATTCCAGAATATTTAACTTCATATAACTTTAATCCCATCCAGATAAATTTATCTTATTAGAAATTTATTTAATATTTATAAACAGGAAGTTTTTTAAAAATGTGCTGATGTTCCTTATTTGAACAGCAGAATGAAAGGGAGAGGGGGAGAGAGAGAGAGAGAGAGAGAGAGAGAGAGAGAAATACCCATCCAATGATTAACTCCCTAAGTGTCCCAGATGCCCACAACTGGGCCAGGCTGAACTTGGAAGTCTGGAAATCCAGGTCTCCCATGGGCATGGCAGAGACCCAAGTCCTTGAGCCATTAACTGCTGCCTCTTGGGATGTGCATTATCAGGAAGCTAAATTAGAAGCGGAGGAGCCAGTACTTGAACCAGGCACTCTGCTATGGGACACAAGAACCCCAAGGGATGGCCAGCTAACAGAGAATCTTAAATAGTACACTAAAGATCTTGTAACTCAGTCTGCACATGACAGAGGGTAACTGAAGAACCTTTCTAGGGCAGTGAAAGCCATTCATGTGGAGGATGGATCTAAGGGGGAGTAAAGCTTCATGCACAGCTGTAAGCTAGGAACAGAGGGCATCCACCTAACTCCTGAAGAATATAAAGGTGGCAGTGAAATTACTACTGCAGGGTTTCTTGTTGTCCTAAAGGACACTCTGCCTTGGTGGACTTTCCACACTGTAACTCCAGTTAACTAAGGGAAAGCTGTGGGGTTTGTAATTGAAAGTGGATTCACTGACCTTTTGAAACAGTAAAAACCGATAGGCCAAAGGAAATATGAATTTTGTAGGGGGTGGGTGGGCATTCAGCCTAGCAGTTAAATGTTCACATCCCACCCTGCTGTGTCCCTGGGTTCAACAGCTGACTCTGAGTCTGGATCTTGACTCCAACTCCCTGCTAATGTGAACCCTGGGAGGCCCTGGTGATGGCTCAAGTAATTTGGTTCCTGCTCCCCATGTGGGAGACCTGGTTTGACTTCTTGGCTCCCAGCTTTGGCCTGACCCAGTCCCAGCTATAGAAGGGAGCTCTCTCTGCCTATCTCTGTCTCTCAAATAAGTAAAATTACAAAAAGAAACTTTTGTGGGAGACTCAAACTTGTCTAATCTAGAATTGTTTGAAGAAACATCACATGAACAAGGTTAAACCCCATGAAAATATACTACTCAGATTTGGTTATGGAAATCAGGCAGACTTGGGTTTAAATGTCTAATTTTGAACCTCTCTGAGATGCAAATGTGATGTTTATACTGTGAATGCAATGATATTTGCTTCAACGCATAGTTGAGAGGATTGATGTATAATTTCTAGTACTTGACCTGACTCTAAGTAGATATTCCGTAAACGCAAACCATGGTAAACGTAAAGCAGATAAAAACCATTCCTTACAATGGGGGCAATATGTTATCAATACAAATGGCACTGGCTAAGAGAGTGGAAGCAAAAGGTTACGAGGATGAATAGTCTTGCTTCTGCGCAGGGACTTTTAAATGAGCAGATAATTCCCATGGTTCTCCCTAGGCTGAGTGTGAGTAGTTCAGAATGAATTATCTCTAAAGATACATGAAAAATAATATACCTAAAATGAAAAGGAACAAAATGTTACCAAGTAGTGAAATACCAAAAGGGAAAAATTATGGGGGGAGAGATCTCAAAAGACCACATTTAGTAAATAGAAAATGATAGAAAACATGTGTTGTGAAAAAAAGGCTTATGGGAAAAAATAAAAGTTAATACACATTAGTATTAAAACATCAATATATACAGCAGGTTTCAAAGTATTAATTATATCCACTTAAAAAGAGACCTATAAGCAAAGTTATTCTCTCTAGAAAGAAAAGGAAGAAAGAAAGGAAGTGAGGGAGGAAGAAAGAAGAAAAAATTTATTTTTAATTAAAAAATTTGTATTTAAAAATCTTTTTAAAATATTTCACATACACAGATTATGGAGCATAGTAATACTTCCCACTCTACCCAGCCTCCTCCTTTCTGTATCATTCCTTCCTTTAATTTTCATAATGATCTACTCTCACTCTACTTCATACTCATAAGATTAACCCTACACTAAGTAAAACACTCAACAAATAGAAGAAACAAACACTGTACCTCAACAGTAGAGACAAGGGCCATAAATAATCACTTAATCTCAAAATGTCAATTTCACTCATATACATTATAATTTTGGTACTCTAGTAGGTACCACAGTTCAGGGAAAACATATGGTATTTGTCCTTTTGGGACTGGCTTATTTTACTAAGTATAATGGTTTCCAGTTCCACCCATTTTGTTGTTGCAAAATAATGGCTGAGTAGCATTCCATAGAAAGGTGATTTTTCAAACAGAATTTCAGGTAAATTGTATGGATTCACCTGAGTGAATATATCAACACACACACACACACACATACACACAGGCAGGTACTTCATTAAATTCATGGGAAATAGTTATAACATTATTCTGGCACCAAAAGTTTTTTGAAGCTCATGCATATGACTCCTAAAAAATTCATGGAAAACAATGCATATTATGAAAAAAGTAATCATGGATTTCTAAATTTATATATACTGAGGAAAATATTTGAAGGGTCTCTATTACCCACAAAAACATTCCAAACTCTTTAAAATATCTATGAAGATCCTCCATTACCCAGCCATCCTTGTCTCATTCTCTCACTACATCTTGACACATCTTCTCATACTTCTGTGTTCTCCCAGACTACTCACCACCCCCAATGTAACTGTCATTTTCTGCTTGTTGGTAGTATTCTTTTTTAAAAACATATTTTATTTATTTGAGAGGTAGAGTTACAGATAGTGAGAGGAAAAGATGAGAGAAAGGTCTTCCTTCCATTGGTTCACTCCCCAAATGGCCCCAAAGCTGCCCTGATCTGAAGCCAGGAGCCAGGTGCTTCTTCCTGGTCTCCCATGCGGGTGCAGGGGCCCAAGCACTTGGGCCATCTTCTACTGCTTGCCCAGGCAACCTGAAACTCTTCATCCTCTTCTTCCCATGCTGGTGGTTAGCATAATGGTTTTCAAATTCTAGTAAAAGAAAATTTACCTAAGGTTTTGTTGAAACTGCAGATTCCAAAAGACTATCAGCAAGACAGTGACTCAAAATGTCTGAGGAAGCACCCTGGAATCTGCACTTCCAACAAGCACCCTCAATGATGAAGTCCAGGTGCTCAGGGACCACACTTTGGGAAATACCCATTCTACCTCCTGTAGAAATGAGAATGGCAAAACTTGGGAGAGGGTGGTGTATGCCATTTCTTCAAGATTTACTTGGTACATTCCTAAAAATCTTCATCACATGAGCATTTGGCACACTGGTTAAGATGCTCATGTGCTTGGATCCCTTCTACACACATAGGAGTCCTAGTTTGAGTTCCTGACAATGGTTTTTGGCATGCCACAGCTCTGGTTGCTACTGGCATTTGAGGAGTCAACCAGTGGATGGAAGTGCTTTCTGCCTTTCAATTAAAATAAAATTTAAAAGATTTTAAAGCTTTCTTTATTACTCTTCTATTAATTATGCTTTCTTTTTGCTCACAGAGCACTGTTTTCATTTTGTTTAGCATTTATTCCTTGTATCTTTTACACAGCTACTTTGTCAATCCCTATCTCATTTATAAGTGTGTTGGCACTCTGGCCTCAGAATCAGCCCTTAAGGCATTCAGATATAACTAAAAAGCCCATCAGAGTATCTCAGCCATGGAAAGCCAAGACACTGTAGTGAAAAATGAACTAAATGAAAGATCTCTGTGAGTGAGATCCCTGTGGAATGAAGGGGCCATCAAAGAAGGGGGTACCTTTCCCTGAAGGGAGGACTGAACTCCCACTTTGATTATGGCCTTGTCTAAATAAGGTCAGAGTTTGTGAATTCAAGAGGTTTCCATAGCCTTGGCAGCTCATGACAAGAGCCTTGAGTGATTACTGATGTCATAAATAAGGGTGTTGGCCGGTGCTGTGGCTCACTAGGCTAATCCTCTGCCTTGAGGCGCCAGCACACCAGGTTCTAGTCCCGGTCACAGTGCCGGATTCGGTCCTGGTTGCCCCTCTTCCAGGCCAGCTCTCTGCTGTGGCCAGAGAGTGCAGCGGAGGATGGCCCAAGTCCTTGGGCCCTGCACCCCATGGGAGACCAGGATAAGCACCTGGCTCCTGCCATCGGATCAGCGCGGTGCACCGGCCGCAGCGTGCCAGCCACGGCGGCCATTGGAAGGTGAACCAACGACAAAGGAGGACCTTTCTCTCTGTCTCTCTCTCTCACTGTCCACTCTGCCTGTCAAAATAAATAAATAAATAAATAAGGGTGTCAATTGTTAAATCAACAACAGGAGTCACTGTGCACTTGCTCCCCACGTAGAACCGCTGTCCTTAATGTGTTGTAATATGAGAATTAGGGGTAAAACTAGTCTTCACACAGTACTTTATACTTTGTGTGTCTGTGTGGGTGCAAACTGCTGCAATCTTTATTTAGTATATATTAAGTTGATATTCTCTATATAAAGATTATTAAAAATGAATCTTGGTGAAAAATGGGATGGAATAGGGAGTAGCAGATGGAATGGTTTGTGAATCTGAGGGTGGTTATGGGGGGAAGAACTGCTATAATCCAAAAGTTGTACTTTCAAAATTTATATTTATTAAATAAAAGTTTACTATTAAAAATATAAGTGTTTTGGAGGAATGGACACTGTCTTTTAATAATTGTATTAAGTACTTGCTACATGTCTTACATATCAGTTTCTTAAAAATGGAGAATTGTGCCCATTGAGACAATTTTTAAAAAATACTTGTATTTAAACATCTTAACATTGAAATGACAAGCAATGCTTTTGAATGCTAAAATACTGTAAATAGTTCATGAAAATTCAGTGGCCATATAGATTATTGGAAGTGTATTCGCATAGAGAAGTAGATTAATGTCTGGTTAAAAAGTAGAAACAAAAGCCCTTGTTCCCATCCCATCCCATTGCTCTCTACATGCAAGAGATGATGTGAGAAATGAGGGAAATGAGGGAAACAAGGAATGATTTGAGGAATGAGAAAACTTAAGCTCTTTAACTAATCATTCTAATCCCCCCCCCTTTTTTTTCCAAGAAACTACATAATCTGTCGAGTGAAAGCCACCCGAGACACTGGGAAAGGTTATGAGATGCAGAAACTCTATGTCATGCTGAGCAAAATTGATGGCTATCAGAAAAGAGTGATGCATGTCTGGACTGAGAAGCAGAAGCTTCTGGAAGAGAAACGGAATCAATGCCTGAGGAAAATGATACCTTTATTTGGCCAGGTAATCTCTTTTCTGTTCCCTGTCTGCAGTGTGTTATGACAGAAATATGAAATCACTACACTTTCTTAAGATTTACTTTGTTTATTTGAAAGACAGTGTTACAGAGAGAGGTAGAGACACAGAGAGATGTCTTCCATCCACAGTTTCACTCCCCAGATGGCCACAGTGGCCAGTGCTGCACTGATCCAAAAAAAGGAGCCAGGAGCTTCTTCCAGGTCTCCCACGTGGGTGCAGGGTGTGGGGAGCAACTGGGAGCAACTCGGACTAGACTAAGTTACTGGAATTAAGACTTATTCTATGCATCTGCTCTCCCACAATATGACGCTGGGAGAGGAGGAAACAGCTTCTACACAGCTGCCTCCAGTTCAACCAATAAACTGTAGGACCTGCTCCTGATTGGAGGAGAGCAGCGTACTCGGCGTGTGGGTAGCAGAGTTGGGATTGGTGGAAGAGGACTATAAAGGAGGAGAGAGACAACATGCACCAGGAACATCTATGAGGAACACCTGAGCAGCCCCCGAGAGAGCCGGCCGGCGGTGTGCCGCTCCCCCGCGGAAGTGGGGAAAGTGGCAGGGGGAACCACCCTTCCATGGAGGTGGAAGGGACGGTAGCCAACCCGGGAAGAACCAGCAGCAAACCCGGGGAGGGCCGAGCAGACAAAAGAATAGCGCAGGGTCCTGTGTTGTTCCTCCATGAAGACGGGGAGCGACATAATGGTGCCGTGACTCGGATATGAAGCCTAGGCAGGGTTTAGTGTCGTTCCTCCATGAAGAGGGGGAGCGACATAATGGTGCCGTGACTCGGATAGGAAACTTAGGAGGGAAGAAGCGGGAAAATACCAGAGAGAGAGACTAGCAAAGAGCCTAGGGAAAAGCCGGACGGAAAAGGTGCCGGAAGAAGCTATTGAAAGCCTAGGCATAGACTCGGATACAGACTATGGTGGGGAAGCTAGGAGATTGAAAGCGAAAGTGAAACCTAGAAGAAACTTAGACTCGGATACGGACTGTGGGGAGAAGCCAGGAGAAATGAGAGGGGAATATTGTTGTTGGAAGAAAAGTTAGGGAAACATACCGGGTAGAGAAAAATGTTAGGGAGGATGAAGCTGCGGGGGCAGGCTGAGGCAGAGACGTAAGCCAGCTTGGGATTCTTCAAGTCAGCCCGGGGAGCAAAAGGCGAAAAGCTAAAACTAGAGGTGGACACGTGAGCTAGGTTGGAATCCGTCAGATTAGCCCGGGGAGCAAAAGACGGGAAGCCAAACCGAAAGGAGCAGACGTGAGCTAGGTTGAATTCGCCAGGTTAGCCCGGGGAACTTAGACTGAACACCGGTGGCGGAAACATGAGCTAGGCTGTGTGACTCGCGGAAGCCGCCGCGCGCAGAGAGAGCACGCGGGGCACGAATGGGGAGAGCGCACGGGGCGCTAATAGAGAGAACGCGGGGCTGGCACTAAGGCCGTGGTGTGGGCGCAAAGGGCACGGAGACAGCGCGAAGCTGGGAAGCGGCTCAGAGCCAGGAAGCCGCCACGGGGCGAGGCGCCGAGAAGCAGCCTCGGGGCGGGCGCCAGGAAGCCGCGGGGATAAGAGAAACAAGTTTAGAAGTAAAATGAGAGAAATAGGAATGCTGGCAGATAAAGTAAAATAGGAGAGATAGGAATGCCCAGAGGTAGAGAAATAGAGAAGAATAAGGCCTCCCCACAACACGGCAATGAGAGAGCTTGGATTCGGTCTGCCTGATTAGTAAGACGATAAGTACCTGTGGGCGGCTGCAGGTCACCGAAGACAGGCACGAATTAACATCAATAAGTCTTCCCACAATATGGCAATGAGAAGGCTTGGATTCGGTTTGCCTGATTGGTAGGGCTTGTAAGCACCTGTGGGTGGCTGCAGGTCACTGAAGACAGGCACGTTATCAACATAAGTCTCCCCACAATACAGCAATGAGAAGGCTTGGATTCGGTTTGCCTGATAGGGCTTGTAAGCACCTGCAGGCAGTTCTAGCAGAGCAGAGCATGAGCTGCAGGGCACCGAACACAGGCACACATCAGCGCCTAAAAACCTCCTCACAACATGGCGAAGAGAGGACCCGGATTCGGTTTGCCTGATTGATAGGACTTGTAAGCACCGAGGACAGGCGCGTATCAACGCCAAAAATAAAAAGAAAGGGGGATCTGTGGGGAGCAACTCGGAGCAACTCGGACTAGACTAAGTTACTGGAATTAAGACTTATTCTATGCATCTGCTCTCCCACAATATGGCGCTGGGAGAGGAGGAAACAGCTTCTACACAGCTGCCTCCAGTTCAACCAATAAACTGTAGGACCTGCTCCTGATTGGAGGAGAGCAGCGTACTCGGTGTGTGGGTAGCAGAGTTGGGATTGGTGGAAGAGGACTATAAAGGAGGAGAGAGACAACATGCACCAGGAACATCTATGAGGAACACCTGAGCAGCCCCCGAGAGAGCCGGCCGGCGGTGTGCCGCTCCCCCGCGGAAGTGGGGAAAGTGGCAGGGGGAACCGCCCTTCCACGGAGGTGGAAGGGACGGTAGCCAACCCGGGAAGAACCAGCAGCAAACCCGGGGAGGGCCGAGCAGACAAAAGAACAGCGCAGGGTCCTGTGTTGTTCCTCCACGAAGACGGGGAGCGACAGCAGGGTACCAAGGACTTGGGCCATCACCTACTGCTATCCCAGGCCACTGCAGAGAGCTGGATCAGAAGAGGAGCAGCTGAGATTAGAACTGGTGCCCATATGGGATGCTGGCACTTCAGGCCAGGGCTTTAACACACTGAGCAATAGTACCAGCCCCAGCACCATGTTTTGAAAGTTTAACACCAACCTGCACAGACCACAAATGCCACTTTTCCAGGGACACCCTAACAAATTACCAGAAACTTGATGGTACAGTGTGGGGAATGTTCTGCCCATGGGCCAGACAAGGTCCATGAAATCATTTGTTTGGCCCTGGCAAGGCAACCACGGGCAAGACTTGCAATTTAAGGAATTTATAAGAGGCTAATTTTTAAGTTGACAATTTTCTATGGCCATGAATGAAGGCATAAATATCCAAATGCACCCTGGCAGAATACAAAGTCCCCCAAGGAAATCTGCCATGGTTCCAGAGGTCAGAAATGTGTGAAATCAAGGTGCTGCAGGCCTGGTTTCTTCTGGGTCCTCTGAGGGAGAACTCCGTCCCAGGCTTCTGTCCTAGACTGCAGTGCCACTGGAAATCCTTGGTATTCCTAAGCTTGCAGCCACTAAACTCCATCTTTGCCTCCATCTTCCAAATGACCACCTCAGCATGTGTGTTCTGGATTCAGTTTGGTCTCTTTGGAGGCCACATGCCATCAGACTTAGGACCCAGTGACATCTTGGTTAATCCATGGTGATCTTACCTTGAGATCTCCAACCAAATTACATATGTAAAGCCCCCTCTTCCAAGTAAGGACATTTTCAGAGGTTCCGAGTGCATAAGCTTTTGAGATGATTCAACTCACCATGACACCATGACCAGTGACACTGCTAGATGGACAACAGGAATACTTGGTAGATCTCTAGGGGAGAATAGGTGCAAGTTTCAGAAACGTTCAGCTCCTTCCTGGTCATCCCACCTCTCCCTGACTCCAGAGGTGAAACCTCTTGAAGTCACTGCTCCCTAATCCTGGGTGGTTGGTTACCTTTCTCATCAAAACTCTCAAACAGCTGGGTTTACTCTCAGGATTTGACAAGAAGGGAGACAACCTGCTTCCATAGTACTAGGCCAGACAACCCTGTTCAAGCAGCCATACACGCACTATGGCCTAGAGCCCCTTCTAAGAAAACTGCCAATATGTTTTGGGAGTGACAGCAGCCTTCCAAACACTGAGATGGGAATTTTTCCCCTGGGATTATGTGTTTGAAAGCTCCTAGCACTAACTGAAGTTCTAAGTACAAACAACACAAGCTGGAGTTTTAGGACTATTTTCTCTCTAAATATTACAACTCTTTGGCACTGTGGTGGACTGGGTTAATCCTCCGCCTGCGGCACCGGCATCCCATTTGGGCACCGATTCTAGTCCCAGCTGCTCCTCTCCCAATCAAGCTCTCTGTGTGGCCTGCGAAAGCAGTAGAAGATGGCCCAAGTCCTTGGGCCCCTGCACCCACTTGGGAGACCCAGAGGAAGCTCCTGGCTCCTGGCTTCAGATCGGTACTGCTCTGGCCATTGCGGCCATTTGGGGAGTGAACCAATGGATGGAAGACCTTTCTCTCTGTCTCGCCCTCTCACTGTCTGTAACTCTACCTCTCAAATAAATAAATAAAATCTTAAAAAAAGACTATCCCAGACTTTTTGATTTGGAAATATGGCCAATTGTGCATGGAGCCCAGCAAGACGTGACATGAGCCATCGAACAGGAATCACAGGTCTAGCACATTTCAGATGATGAGTAAGGGTCTGAGTCCAGGAATGTTGGAATCTGACATACTGGTATGAAGGCATTAAGAAGAGACAATAAAAAGCAAAATGGATAAGAGGGCAGATAGGAATGAATACCTTACACTGAATTGGAGTGATCATTAAGAGGACTGGCTCTGTTACCAGGTTATCTGGATTCAAATCACTTTCACCACATGCCAGGTAAGATACCTGGACACCTTAAGATTTCATGCACTCAACATGGCCAAAACCAGGAGCCAAGAAATTGACTCTGGTCTCCCACATAGGTGGCAAGGTCTTGAGAATTTGGGCCATTTTCTGCTGCCTTCCAGGAGCATTAGCAGGAAGCTGGATTGGAAGGCAGAGATGGACTCAACCTCAAACACTCTTATATGTGATGCAGGATTCCTGAGCAGGTTAATAAGCTGCATCACAGGAGCAGGCGCTGTGGCTTAGTGAGTAAAGCTGCTGCCTATTGTGATGGCATTCCATAAGGGTGCAAGTTCAAATCCTGGTGCTCCATTTCCGATCCTGCTCTCTACTATGGCCTGGGAAAGCAGCAGAGATGGCCCAAGTCCTTGGTCCCCTGTATCCACGTGGGAGACCAGGAAAAATCTCCTGGTTCCTGGCTTTGGAACAACAGAGCTCTGGCTATTGTGGCCAACTGGGGAATGAACCAGCGGATGGAAGACCTCTCTCTCTAACTCTGCCTCTCCTCTCTCTGTGTAACTCAAACTTTCAAATAAATAAATAAATCTTTTAAAAAAAAAAGCTGCACCATAATACATGCCCCAAAACTGAAGTTTCCTTAGCTCCTCCATATGTAAGACACAAATAAAAATTCCCAACCCTAAGGTAGTTGTAAATTCCAAATGAGCTGATGTGGGAAGTGCCAGGCTCAGTGTCCGCCATTCAGTGAGTATTCAGTAAATGCTGGCTATCTTAGGTTTGCATAGTGCATCACAATTTATATTCCACATATGCTGCCTTATACAATGTCCACACTCCTGTTATTCCCATTTTAGAAATAAAGATAAACAGGTGTAGATAAATAAGCAACTAACACAAAGTTTCACAATTAGGACCAAGACTGGAGCTTAACTGGGACCCAGGTTTTGATTTGCCATAGATTCCCTCTCTGAAATTGCGCATGTAGGAGGGGAGTTGGAGGAGGAGGAAGACTTGCAAGTGCAGGGTAAAGAAGGAGCTGGAGTTCAGAGTAGGGCCAGTTCAGAAGACCTCCCCAAAGAGTCTGCTCCTTTCTTTTTATGACATCCTCCTTCTGATTTAACTTTTTATAGCTCCAAGAGACATATAAATTGAATCTTAGTCGACCAATTCCTTTGCACATCCATAAGAAGAAGATACCTCCCTCTAGAGAATTTGTTCAACAGACATTCCAACAACAGACATTCCAACAACACACATTCCAACAGCCACCAGCAGAAGAGGATATGCAACCTGTCAAGAATATTAGGTATGTGGTGGAAAGACTGACACGTTCAGATGATGCACAAAACCTAAAGTAGTTTTTCCATCCAAGATCCTCCTCTTCCCCACCACTATGATACGGTGCAGGGGAGAGTCTAAGGCAGTATTAATTCTCTGAACTAATTTACCAAAAGGTTGATTTATTGGTCTTGAGTTCCTTTCTAAAAACACAAAGGGGGAATGCATTCTTCCTCATTAAGAAATAAATTACATTAAGAATGTATAATAAAAAAGCTTAGAAGCATTAACTCCCGGAGGAGCTCTGGGAAGGGAGCAGAAAACACCCACGTCTGCTGTACTTCATAATGCTAAGAAGGTATTTTAATATGGATTTCTAGGTGAAGTCATGGAAATTCAGCCTTGTTAACCATTTCAGAAAGTTCTAGTTTTTCATCCACCTGTCTGTCATAGTGGGCATAGCCGATGCTTGTCAGTGCAAGGGGAGGGCAAAACAGGACAAGGCCGTGGTGAAGCGCTGAGGGGAGAGAAAGACTCAGACATTTTGATTGGCTATTGGCACAGCCCAGCCACGCACTTTCACTTAATGCTTCTCTGACTCTGCAGACACCAAGATGACCAGATGGATGCCATCTGGAAAACTGATATATGCGATTCAAGCTACCCAATAACAGAGAAGACACCAACAAATGTACCCTGGGACCAGCTGGGTGGATATCCAGACATTCCGAGGCTGCTCGAGTTAGACATCCAGTCTACCTTCAGGAAATCTCTCGCGTCCATTAAAACACGGTAAGGACTGGGAGCACCCTGGAAAGTAGGTTTTTCATCATCTGGCTTTTGTTTCCCTAACCTTTCTCCTGTGGCACCAGGCAGTTGCCAAAAGTAAGAGTTTGGTGTGTCACAGACATGAGGATTTCATTTCCGAAAAATATAAAACCAACCAACCAACCAGGCATCTCAAGAGTCAGCTTAACCCACCGTACTGCAATGCCAACTCCCAGGGTCAGGCATTTTAGATGCAGAAGTTAAGGGGAAGCAGAATTTCAGATATGTTCCTGTGCCACATCACAGACACATGAAACAGACTGTCAACTGCAGAGTTTCCATGCTGAATCGAAGCAGGAAAATCTTACCAAATAGGGTGAGATCAGGGCTCTGAGAATGACTGTCTGCCATTTCTCTTTTCACTCAGCCTGTGTCTCTGTGACTCTTTGGCTCTTGGAATTTTATCATTAAATCTTTGTTGAAAACTCACAGCTGGCACATAGTATGCTACATCAAAATCCTTTGCTTCCCTGTATAGGTCTTAGCTGGGGCTTTGCATTATTGAAACTAAGTATATGATAATCTTAATTTTCAGATGTTTGCATTGACTTGTTAGAACATTTGCCTTCTACTTTAAAAAGATACTTCAGATACAAATTATAAACTAGAAAGTTGGCTGGTGAGTACAGAATCAAGGCAGATACTAATCATGGGACATCAATATGACTGGGACTTAAGATCATGATTTCGATCTGTCTCTGCTGCAAGGACGTACCTGACATGCACCCTGGCCCTGCATGCTGGTTGTGGACAACCCGAGACAACTCCCTGACCCTGTCTTGTTCTCCTGCTGACCCGTCTGCCACTGCATGTCCTTGTTTTCTTTCTTTAAATAACTGAAATTTTGTTTTGCTAAAATGAAATTCCTTTTTTCAGAATATACACTAGGTATGTTTTAACAAACGACTTTCAGGAAAATAAATAAAATATAAGCACGGAAAAAGAAGAAAAACTACAGGCCTTTGGCACAGTAATTAAGAAGCTGCTTGGGACGCCCCCATCCCAAATGCTGGTCACTGGGTTTGAGCTGCATCTGGAGTTCCAATTCAGACTCTGCTAATGCACATCCTGGGAGGCAGCAGGTGCTGATGGCTCAAGTATCTGGGTCCTTGCCACCCATGTGGGAGAACAACATTGAGTTCCCAGCTCCTGATTTAAGCCTGACCCAGCCTTAGGTTGTTGTGGGCACTGGAGTACTAAATCAGTCTGTCTGTCTGTCTCTCTCTCTCTCTACCTTTCAAACAGATGAAAGTAAATAAATGTTAAAAGCAAATTTGTCGGGTCCAGTGCTGTGGCTCACTTGGTTAATCCTCCGCCTGCAGTGCTGGCATCCCATATGGATGCCAGGTTCTAGTCCCGGTTGCTCCTCTTCCAGTCCAGCTCTCTGCTGTGGCCCAGGAGGGCAGTGGAGGATGGCCCAAGTCCTTGGGCCCTGCACCCGCATGGGAGACCAGGAGGAAGCACCTGGCTCCTGGCTTCGGATCAGTGGAGCGCCGGCCGTAGCGGCCATTTGGGGTTTGGGGGATGAACCAACAGAAGGAAAACCTTTCTCTCTGTCTCTCTCTGTCTATAACTCTACCTGTCAAAAAAAAAAAAAAAGTAAATTTGTCACTAAAACATCACTGTATAGTGATATTGTTGTTTTCTCTCCTTCTCCTTCTTAAAGCTTTATTTTTAGCCAGCACTGTGTCTACCATGTAGTTGACAGTATCTAGCTGACAATGCAAAACATTAATAATACATTTAAGTATTTCGCATTTCTCTTGAAAATAGTAGCTGTATATACTTACGCAGTACAATATGATTGTTCAATATATGCATATATTGGAGAATGAGCAAATCAGGCTAAGTATCACATGCATCCACAGACACATCATTTCTTTGTGGTATAGAAACTTAAAATCTACTCTTTCATGGTAGGCAATGTGGCACAGCACGTTAAGCTTGGGATTGCCCACATCCTATCAAAAGGTGGGTTTGCATTCTGGCTATACCACGTCAGATCCAATTTCCTACTGATGTGCCAGGGAAGGTAGTGCATGATGGACCACATGCATGAGTCCCAATCCACTCCCTTCAGAGGCCCAGATGGAGTTCTGGGCTTCTGGCTTTGTCCTGGCCAATCTTCAGCTATTGCAAGCATTTGGGAAGTGAATCACTGGGTAGAAGATCGCTCAATCTCTCCTGATCACTCTACCTTTCAAATGAATGAATAAATCTTTGACAAAAATCACAGGCAATTTTGTGACATATGCTACAGAAACTCTGACAATTATGTTGTGTAAGAGAATCCTAGGAATTACTCCTCCTGTCTAAAGAAAACTTTGCATCCTTTGACAAACATGTCCCTTCTTCCTGAGAACTCCCTTGCTTCAGTCTCTGGTAATCATCAATCTGCTCTACTGTTAGGAATTCAACTCTCTGGGTTCCATGTATAAGTGAGATCATGTACTATCTGTCTCTATGTTCTTGACTTGTTTTACTTGGCAGAGTGTCTTCTAGATACATTCATGTTGTTGCAAATGACAAAACTTCTTTATTTTTAAAAGCTAAATAGTATGCCATTATGCATGTATACCACCTGTTCTTTACCTGTTCATCTGCTGCTGGACATTAAGTTGTTTTCAGATCTTGAGTACTGTGAAAATGTTGCAGGGAAGTACAGACATCTCTCCAATGCACTGATTTCAGTTCCGGTTGATATGTACCCAGAAGTGGGATTGCTCAATCCTAGGGTAATTCTACTTTTCATTTTTTGAGGAACCACCATACTAGATTTCAAAATGACTAGACTAACTTATTCCTGCCAACAGTGTGCAAGGGTTTCCTTTTGTCCAAACCATAACTGGTGCTTGTTATCATCTTCTTCATAAGAGCTATTCTAACAGGTGAGAGGTAATAATCTCATTATGGTTTCAGTTTGCATTCCCTGATTAAAACTGTTGAGTTTTTTATTTCATGTATCTGTTGGCCATTTGCATGTCTTCTCTTGACAAATGTCAAGTTGGGTACTTTTGTCTATTTGGATTATTTATTGTTATTGAGTAGTTTAAGTTTCTTACATACTTTGGGTTGTAGTCCCTTATTTGATGTATGATTTGAAAAAATTTTTTAGACTCTTTGGGTAATTTCCTCACCTTGGCATACAGAAACTTGAGATTTTTATTTATTTGAAAGGAACAATCAGAGAAAGAGAGAGAAGGTGTGAAGGAGGGAGGGGTGAAGGAGGAAGAGAGGAGAGAGAGAGAGAGAGAGAGAGAGAGAGAGAATATGAATCTTCCATCTGCTGGTTCACTCCCAAAATGGCCACAATAACCCAGCTTGGCCAGGCTGAAGCTAGGACTTAGGAGCTTCTTTGGGTCTTCTGTGTTGGTGCATAGGTCCAAGGACTTATGTCATTTTCCACTGCTTTCCCAGGCACACTAGTGGGGAGCTGTATCAGAAGTGCAGCAGCCAGGATTGGAACTGGCACCCATATGGCTTGCAGGTGCTGCAGGCCATGGCTCTAACCCATTGTACCACAGTGCTGGCCCCGGCATGCTGAAACGTTTTAATTTGATGTAAACCCATTTACATATTTTTACTTTCAATGACCAGACTTGTGGAGTCATATCTCAGAGATCACCACCTCATCTAATGCCATGGAAGCTTCTGTGTTCTTGTAGTGGTATCACTATTTCAGGTCTTATAAATCTTTCATCCATTTTTAGTGAATTCTTGGATAAGAGAGAGATAAAGTCCCACATGGATCCAATTTCATTCTTCTGCTTACTGATAGCAGTTTTCTCAGCAAAATTTGTTGAATGGACTGTCTTTTCCCAATCATGTATTTTCTTAAAAATTGTTAAAATTTTTATTTTTAATTAGTTTTTAACAGATTCAATGTGATATGTAGACACAATTCTAAGAACACAATAATATTCCCTTCCTCCCTATCCCCACTCCTTCCTCTTTCCTTGTTTTTGAGATAACATTTTAAATTTGCATTACAGTAAAAGGGCTTAATACTACACCAAGTAAGAAGTTGAGCAAGTAAAAAAGCAAAGAGACCCAATGTTGAGGTTGATTTGCTCTGAGAAGAGGAGCGTGGTGGGGGCAAGAGGCACGGAGTCACCACACAGACCCCGGGAGTCGGGTGAAAGTGGGCCAGAGGCGAGCAGCCCACAGATTCGTTTATTTCAGTTGGTACCACAGCTTATATAGCCAAGGCAGCCAATCCGGTCAAGGGGCAGTTTATGCCCTAACCAATCACAGCCTGTTGCCAGGCAGTATCCGAAGCCATCCAATCACAGCCTGTTGCCAGGCAGGCTCCGTTGGCCATGTGGTTTCCAAAGCCATCCAATCACAGCCTGTTGCCAGGCAGGCTCCATTGCCAGGTGGGTTTCAAAGCCATTCCTGAGTAACTGACGCTCGCTTACCAGTGGCCATCCTGGCATGGCCTTCTCATTCCACCACCATTCCCCCTTTTCATTTATTTCTGAGCAACGGGAGGCATGATTCTTGACCATACCATTGTTGACCCCGTTTCCATGTGGTCTCCATACGCGGCTGTGCCTGTCTTAGGTTGTCCCCCAGGGGATCTTACCTGTCGTTGACTAACCAGCGCTCAAAACGAGAGACCACAGGAGTTCTTGCTCAGATAGGGGTAGGAATGAGGAACAATGGTAATCCGGAATGGCATGACTGCACACAGGCTGTGGGCCATTTGAGTGGCCGACCAGAGCTAGTGGGGTATAAAATAGTATCGGATTGTGGCTATGGGCAGTTTCTCAAGGTAGGATGATAGGGCAGGTGCGTCTGCTAACAAGGTAGGCTCTCAGTCTTGTTCAGCTGGTTCTGGTTGGCTGTCAGTCGCAGGCTTGATATTTCTGGCTGGTACCCAAATGGGCTGTCCTGCATTCTCTGGAAAGACACAAGCATATCCTCGGCCTGTGTTTAGCAGAAGCCTTTTTACAGGTGTTGGAATCCAGTGCCTGAATTTTGTGTTCACTTCTATATTAATGGCAAACATGCAGGTGGGATGAGGTCTAGCGGCTGCCCTGAGAGCCTGGGGTACCTGAGTACTGCTACAAATGTGGGGATCCTCACTGGGTGTGGATGGGATGACCTTGCATGAGTTATTGTCTCAAGGTCCTCTAAGTTCATCCCACGGGTATGTGGGGGGTGGCTGACTAGGCATTGCCACATTGTTTGCTACCTTGTTTGCTACCTTGTCATTTTCACTGTTGGAGCTCTCCCTAAGTCATCAACTGTTGTCTGTGAGCCAGACGTCTGGAGTGACAGGCTCTGATCACTCACAACCCTACTTTAGTGGAAATATAAACAACTGCTACAAGCAAAAATTGAATGGGAAAAATGACCATTTCACCCATATACAGTCATCATGTATACTTGTATCTTGATTAAAACCAATTGACCATAGATGGGTGTCTTCTTGGCTCCTTCTACTATTCCATTGATCAAGTGGAATCTTTTGGGATTTATACACCTTAGTGCTCTCTGAGCGTCATGGATATGGTTTGGTTCCTAATGTCAATATGGAAAAATTCTCAGTCATTAATGCTTCAAAGTTTCTCTGTTAGTTTTTCTTTCTTCTTCTGGAATTTCCATGACTCATATGTGATACCTTTTGTGACTTTCCCACAGTTCTTGTATATTCTGTTTTTCAGTCTTTTCCCCCTTTGCTTTCTGGTTTGGGAAGATTCTATCACCACATTCTCAAGCTCAGGATGTCTTTCCTTAGTTGTGTACAATTTACGAATGAGCCTATCAAAGTCATTCTTCATTTCTGTTAGCGTTTCTGATCTTCAACTTTTTTTTTTCAATTTTTCTTAGAATTTCCATCTCTCTGCTTACATTTTCTACCTGTTTTGGTATTTGATTACTTTTTACATTTGGCGCTCCATGGCACACTTCTCATGATTCCTTTAAATACTGGTCTGAAAATTCCAACATTCCTATCACACCTGGCTCGCATTCAGAGGCTTGCTCTGTCTCTTAAGCAGTGCTCTGTTTTATTTTTCGCTTGTTAGTATACCTTGCATTTTTCTCCAAATATAGACATAATGTACCAAGTGAAAATGAGCTCACATTGCGTATGTTTTTAAACTTGCTTTTGTTTCACTTAACAGCATATGTTTGGAGTTTTCCTATATTAATGTAGACCTACATTGTCATTCTTTTGATTACATGAAAGTCAATCATACAAATGCATGATAACTTATGGTACTGTTCTGCTCTTTCTGATAGAAATTAGGACAACTGTCAACATTATAAGAATATTGCTCCATTTTTCCTTGCAGTGATTGCCATATTTATATGATAATTGCCCTATGAAATGCCATTAAATATTTTAATTACAAAAGCAATGCATTCTTGCTGTAGAACACTGGAAATGAATTCTACCCCCAGAAATAACAACCATTGTTAATTCTGAAGCCATGTTTTAACTTTAGAGATAAGACTACTGTGGAATGGGTTAGGCATGAACAGTGATTAAGATGCCACTTGAGAAAGAACAGGTCTTCAAAGAAGGAGGTACCTTTCTCTGAAGGGAGGAGAGAACCTCCACTTTGACTATGACCTTGTCTAAACAAGATAAGAGTCGGAGAACTCAAGGGGCTTCCATAGCCTTGGAAACTCATGACTGGTGCATAGGGAGATTACTGATGCCATAAACAGGAGTGTCAATTTGTAAAGTCAACAACAGGAGTCACGGTGCACTTACTCCTCATGTAGGATCTCTGTCCTTAATGTGCTGTACATTGAGGCTTAATGCTATAACGAGTACTCAAACAGTATATTTCACTTTGTGTTTCTATGGGGGTGCAAACGGTTGAAATCTTTACTTAATGTATACTAAACTGATCTTCTGTAAAAAAAAAAAAAAAAAAAGAAATTATCAATTCCCAACTTGACTCTCACTGGGATTAAACATGACAATAGGTCTGATCTGATTTCATCATCATTTAAAAAAATCATCTATTATTTTTCACTTTATGTTTCTGTGTGGGAGCAAACTGTTGAAATCCTTACTTAATGTATACTAAGCTGATCTTCTGTATATTAAGAAAATCGAAAATGAATCTTGATGTGAATGGAAGGGGAGAGGGAGTGGGAAAGGGGAGGGTTGTGGGTGGGAGGGACGGTATGGGGGGGAAGCCATTGTAATCCATAAGTCGTACTTTGGAAATTTATATTCATTAAATAAAAGATAAAAAAAAAGATGCCACTTGAGACACTCAAATCTCATATTAAAGTGTCTGAGTTTGAGTCCCACCTCCAGTTCTGATCCAGCTTCCTGCTAATAAACACCTTAGGAGACAGCAATGGATGGCTCAAGTATTTGAATCCTTGTCACTCAGCTGGATGATTGAGTTCCAGTCTTCTGGCATAATCCCAGATATTGCTGGCATTTGGGGAGTGAACAAGCAGATGGAAGATCTCCCTTCCTTTCACACTCTCTCTCGCTCTCTCACTCTCTTCCTCTCTCTCACTCTCACTCTCTCACTCTCTTCCTCTTTCTCACTCTCTCACTCTCTTCCCTTCCCCCTCTCCTCTCCCAACCTCCCTCTACTCTTTCAAATGAATTTTAAAAAATGCTACCTGGTAAGTAATTAGCTTTTGTGACACCATGCTCTTTCATCTTTTTTCTTTTTGTCCTGGAAGACATTCTGTCCTTTAATGTGACTTTCATGAATATGGATTACAAACTGATTTTACTAAGCTTGCCTTGTGAGTTCTGAAGGCTCTCTTAGGTTCCTATGATTTACCTATATCCCACAAATGTGTTTCTGAGCAATCTGTAATAATATTTTCTTGTTTCACTCCCAGGATTAAGAAGACTCCTAAGTGACTATAAAAATTCAATACAAGCATGTTCAAAACAAATTTCACTGTTTCAATAAAATGCCCAGTTTGTTTTTCATGAATGTGCATGGCTTGATCTGTCTCTTGCGTTTATGTCCTGCTACATTTTCTTAGAGTGAACACTTTAATTTCCAGACAACTACTATGATTACTTAAAGAGAATACCTCCTGCAATGGTTCAAGTCCTGGTTATTCTACTTTGGATCCAGCTTCTTGCTAACGCACCCTGGAAGGCAGGTTATGATGGCCCAAATACTTGGTTCCCTGCCACCCTCTGTAGGAGATCAGGATGGAGTTCATGGCTCCTGGCCTCAGTCTGGCCCAGAACCAGCTTGTGCCCATTTTGGGAGTGCACCATTGGGTGGAACATCTGTTTCTCTCTCTCTCCCCCTCTCTCTGCTTTTCACATAAATTAATCTTTATAAAAATTATTTTAAAAAATGCATTGGAGGCAATGGTGCTGTGGTATAGTAGGCTAAGCCTCCTCCTGTGGCTTATGCCATATGAGCGCTGGTTCATGTCTAGGCTGCTCCTCTTACAATCCAGCTCTAGCTATGGCCTTGGAAAGCAGCAGAAGATGGCCCAAGTGCTTGCACTCCTAAACCCATGTGTGAGACCTGGAAGAAGCTCCTGGCTCCTTGCTCTAGATGGACCCAGCTATGGCCATTGCTGCTATTTGGGAAGTGAACCAGCAGGTGGAAGACCTTTCTTTCTGTCTCTCCCTTTCTCTATCTGTAACTCTACCTCTCAAATCAATAAATAAAATCTTTAAAATAAGTATTGAAGGGAAAGAAAATGAAATATGAAAAAACATGTAAGATCTTCCAAAGAAAGGTAAATCTTGAAGTGATTATGGAGTGATAAATAGGGTTAAGAGGGAAATATGAATACTCAGAGATACTTCAATGGAACTGAAGATGATTTTTTTTTTTTTTTTTGGCAGGCAGAATGGACAGTGAGAGAGAGAGACAGAGAGAAAGGTCTTCCTTTGCCGTTGGTTCACCCTCCAATGGCTGCCGCGGCCAGCACGCTGCGGCCTGCACAACGCGCTGATCCAATGGCAGGAGCCAGGTACTTATCCTCGTCTCCGATGGGGTGCAGGGCCCAAGGACTTGGGCCATCCTCCACTGCACTCCCTGGCCACAGCAGAGAGCTGGCCTGGAAGAGGGGCAACCGGGACAGAATCCGGTGCCCCGACCAGGACTAGAACCCGGTGTGCTGGCGCCGCAAGGCAGAGGATTAGCCTAGTGAGCCGTGGCGCCGGCCACTACGAGGATTTTCAAGAGAACCATCAGAAGCGGGAAAACAATTCTGTAGCCTTTTCAAAACACTGAAAAAAATTTTTAACTCTAAAATTCTATGTTCACTGAAGCTAGCTAGCATTTACCTGTTAGGACACAATATTCCCAGACCTCCAAATCTGAGTAGAATATTATAAAGACCCTCTTAGAAAATACTCTTGGAGTACTAATTTATTAAACAGAAACAGTTAAGAAATGCTATGAAATATAAGAGTAAGAATGATGGGGCTGGCGAATGCCACAGTTGGTTAAAGACCCAGTCTGAAGTGCTGGCATCCCACATGGGCTCCGGTTCTAGACACGGCTGCTCCTCCTCCAATCCAGCTCTCTGCTATGGCCTGGGAAAATGGCCCAAGTAGAAGATGGCCCAAGTCCTTGAGCCCCTGCATCCACGTGGAAGCCCAGGAAGAAGGTACATGTCTTTCAAAACCATAGGGAAAAAAAATGATCTGTTCGAGGAAATAAAAAAAGAAAAAAATACCAACTAAAGTGGAATACAAAGCTCTAACATGAAAGTGATTCATTCATAGAAAAACAATTCCCACACTGAATTAAAAAGTACGAACTAGCAATACACAGTCTGGAAGAGAAAAGTTTCAAAAAAGGGTAGGACAAATGAAAACAAAGGAATGGAACAAGGTAAATATGAACCAAGGGAAAAAAAAGCCAGGAGGACAACTATCAACAGACAAAAATAGATTTGAAGGTAAAATCATCATGAGGGACAATTGGGGACTGTGGATAAAAAATGTGTAGTGATCATTAATACAAACGTTTATAACAATATGACCTCACAACATATAGAGCAGCAACTGACCTCTGGCCCTCACCTGATAGTACTGCCTCACCCGGAGCTCTCTCAGATATACTTCTTATCTCTTGGCTATAAATGACAGAGGGGAGTCCTCACTCCTGAATACTACTTCCAGACCATTCCCCTCCACTCCCCCAAAATAGTCTATTTTAACTCACCTATTATAGACCGTCTACCACTTTACCACCCTAGATGTTGCAGCAATACCTCCTTCTTGTTCATCATCACTCTATCAGAAGTCCCAGCAACTTCAATATTACATAGGTCTTTCCAATACTTGGCTTCTGATATTTTTAAAATATCCTCTCCAATGATGTAGTCTTTTAGTCATTGGTCAAAATCTTTAACTTGTCATTACAAAAACAGAGAACTGCAACCTTCCCATAGTCTCTTTCAAATGTGTTATTCTCCAAATATCATCTGTTGATAGCTCATACCTCCAGTACCCCAACTGCAACAATTTTCTCCACAACAACATTTACATCATTGATTCTACTGTCCTCTTACACTCCCTGACCCACTCACATCCACATGTTTGTCACTCCATTCAAATTCCATGGTCAATAATTATAAGGGGTCCCTTGTAAACACTTCACTCCATTTCCTTTGCTCCTGTATTGCTTTGAGGTAGTCCATGGCTGGCTATCATCCAGATGATATACAGTTTTCCCTGCCTACTCCATGACTGCACACTAGTGGTGGAATGTGGCTTCCATAAAACATTTGAACTTGTGGACTGGTCATATTTTAAATAAACATTAACCTCAAATGACCCCATAGTGCTGCCTGGCAACATACTATATTACCCTATTCTGACTGTGCTTAACAGTTTTGTATTTTCTCTAGTCAATAAACATTGAACTGGAGATCAATATCCCAATGAACATAGATGCAACAATCCTGAACAAAATACTAGCAAATCAAATCCATCAACACATCAAAAGATCATCCACCCTGACCCAGTGGCTTTATCCCAGGATTCAGGGATCATTCAACATACGCAAATCAATAAATATGCTACACCACATCCTAAAAATCATATGGTGGAAGTTGAGAAAGCATTTGATGAAATACAGCCTCCTTTCCTAAAAAAAAAAATCTAAAAATTGGAGACAGAAGCAACATATCACAACACAATAAAGGAAACATATGACAAACCCACAATAAGAAACATATTGAATGGGTTAATTTTGGAGCTACATGGAGGACCACTCTCAATACTATTATTCAATATAGTTCTGGAAATTTTAGCCAGGCATGTTAGACAAGGACAAGAAATAATATGGATGTAAACTGGAAAGCAGGAAGTCAAATTATCAGTGTTTACAGATGGCATGATCCTTTTTGAGGAGGAAACAAAAGAATCCATGAAGAGACAATTAGAACTGATAAAATAATTTGTAAAATTTAGTATATACAAACAACACACCCCTTTTCACAGTAGCTACAAAAAATTCAATGCAAGGGGGTAAGTTTTCCTAAGAATAGGAAAAATGAAAATTATACCATGAAATTAAACAAGGAAAATTATAAAATATTAATGAAAGTAACAGAAGCAGACATCAAAAATGGAAAAAATATTTCATATTAATGGCTTGGTAGAATTAATGTCATCAAAATGTCTATACTACACAAAGCAATTTACTGATTCAATGAGATCCCAATCAAAATGCCAAAGACATTCTTCACAAAGCAAAAAAAAAGATGGAAACACATGTGACCCCAATAGCTAAACCAATCTTAAGCAATAAATCAAAACAAGAGATACCACAATATCAGATTTCAAACATAGTACTGGGATGTTATAATCAAAACATTCTGGTACTGGCCCAAAAACAGAAACATAGAATAATGGAACAAAACAGAAATTAACCCATGTATCTATAACCAACTAATCACTGGCAAATGACCTAAAATCATTCCCTGGAGAAAGTCTCTTTAACACATGGTGATGGGAACATGGATTTCTCAATGTAGAACTGTGAAACAAGATACCAACCTTATATCCTATACAAAAATCAAATCATGAATCAAGGACCTAAACTGAAGACCTGAAACCACCAAATTTCTTTTTTTTCTTTTCTTTTTTAAAGAGTTACACAGAGAAAGAAGGAGAAGCAGGGAGAAGGAGAGGTCTTCATTCGCTGGATCACTCCTCAATTGGCCACAACGGCCGGAGCTGCAAAGATCCGAAGTCAGGAGCCAGGAGCTTCTCCCAGGTCTCCCACATGGGTGCAGGGGTCCAAGGACTCGGGCCATCTTCTACTGCTTTCCCAAGCCATAGAAGAGAGCTGGAGTAGAAGTGGAGCAGCCACGATTCAAACTGGCGCCCATATGGGATGCCAGCACTGCAGGCGGCAGCTTTACCCACTATGCCACATCGCTGGCCCCATGAAACCACCAAATCCACATGGAAAAGCACATTTCTTTCTCCCCAAACCCCGACAAGGTCACCCTGTATCTGGTGAGAAGGCGCCATTCTGACACCAGTAGAGCCTGTGGAGGCTCACAAGGGCACGACCAGGGGATTCTACCAGAGGGGAAAATCTGCATTTCCCACTAAATTTGAGTGTGGCCAGGAGGGTTGAGGAGGGCAGCCAAATAGGACCTTGAGGTGCTCACATCCTCTTACCTATCACAGGCTCTGGGCTTCAAACTGCCAAGGCAGAGCACCTGCAGGTAGCTGATTCTGGGAAAGCCTGTGCTCTCTCTGTGGACTGGGCAGGATCATGGGACTGAGAAGGGATTCTCTGAAACCCATGACTGTGAGAGCATTGCTCACTGTGACTGTAGGAGATCTGTGACTTCACAGTAGGGTGTGGGGCGGGGTTGCTGGGTCTCTGGGAAATCACTGAGTCTGGCATCAGAAGCTCAGAGCTCCCTAACTGCCCATGCAAGGTCAATGCAGAGCGGTCATGCTTCCACTGAAGACTGTACAGATCTTGTCTGTAGTTCATGCACCAGCATGGATGAGGGTTGTACCCAGGTGGACTGGACTCAGGCACTGACCACCGTGGAAGAGAGAAGGTGAGGTTGTGAATACACTAGCAGATGGGATCACACTCTCCTCCTACTGACAACAGAAGAGATCTATCATGCCAACGTGCATGTCACCTGAGATTCTTGCCTCATCCTTGAACACTGACCAGGGGCAGACGCTCCACTAAGCCACAGAGGCATAGGTCAAAGATAAAATGCATCAGTGGAGAAAACCAACAAGTGTTTCCACAGAGGCCTAAAAGTAAAAGCTGAAATACTAGAAATGATAACAAGGAAGACAACATGACTCTCTCAAAGGAACACAGCAACACTTCAATATTACAGTGTGAAGACAAAGAGACTGATGAAGTGCCTGGAAAGGAGTTCAAAAGAAGGATCACAGGATTTCTCAGAGGACAGGAGAAGCAAAATCATGGCTATTTTTGTGCCAGTACCAGGCCGTTTGATTATAACTGCCCTGTGGTATGTCTTCAAACCTGGTATTGTGACGCCTCCAGTTTTGTTCTGTTGTTTAAGATGGCTTTAGCTATTGGGGTCTCTTGTGTTTCCATATGAATTTTAGCATATTTTTTCTAGATCTGAGAAGAATGTCATTGATATTTTGATTGGGACCTATTTGAATCGGTAAATGCTTCTCATGGTATAGATTTAACAAATGTGCTAACAGCATACACAGGCAGAAGCCATCACTTTAATAAAATCTACTGGGAGAACAAGTTATCAACAGGCAGAACCATACTGGACTCCCTTGTCTCCCATCACGTTAGAAATCAATTAAAAATGCACTGGAGACTGAAGTGTAAGTCCTGAAAATAAGAAACTATTAGAAGAACACCAAAGTGACATGCTATGGGATACTGCAGTGCACAAGGATTTGTTGCATATGACCCCAAAAGCAAATGAAACAAAAGCAAAAACAGAAAAATGGGATCACATCAAACAAAAAAGTAAATGCAACAATCAACAGCCTGAAGAGAAAAACTACACAAGGGAAGAAAGTATTTTCAAACTACACATCTGATAAAGTGGTAATATCCAACATATAGAAGATGCAAACAACTCTACACCAAAAACAAAAAGGAAATAGAGACTTCTCAGAAGAAGACTTACAAAGGTCAACAGGTATATGAAAAAAATTCAGCATCACTAGTCATGAAGGCAAAGCAGATCAAACGGCAGGGAGCTGCCACTTCAGTCCACTTACACTGGCTACTATCAAAAAGACAGCAGCAACGAGTTGTGGTGAGAATATGGCAAAAAAAAAAAGGAACACTTACAAACTGTTGCTGAGGAGTCAAGTTAGTACAGTCATTATGAAAACATTATGGAAGTTCCTCAAGTGATTATAAATAGAACCATTGTACAGTGAGGCAGAAATCCTACTACATAGTGCACACCCAAGGGAAATGCAGTCAGTATACCTATACACATGATGTAACATATGTAAATCAGTATACCTGATACACGATATAACTCAAATATGGACTCTACAACATTTCAGCTCATAATCTGAGGAAAGAAGGCTGGCTACCAGAGGCTGAGGTTAGTATAGGGGAAGCAGCAATGGGGAAAGGTTGCTCAACAGGTAGTAAGTTACAGGAGAGGAGAGATAAGCTCTGCCACCCTACTGCACAGTAGGGTGGCTGTAAATAGTGACAGCCCACTATGTGTTTCTGAAACCTAAACATTTTCCACCCCAAATAAATGAGAAATCTTTAAGGATACAGATATGCTTACCTTGATATGAACATTCCACAACATATAAATGCATCAACACATCACATACATACTTCATGGTCTACAATTCATACATGTATGTTTAAAAAATGATTCACTCCAGGGAGGGCATTGTGGCATAGCAGGTCAAGCTACAGTGTGCAGCACCAGCATCCCATATAGGCACGGGTTTGAGTCCCAGCTGCTCTATTTCTGATACAGTTCCCTTCTCATATGCCTGGGAAAGCAGCATAATATGGCCCAAATCCTTGGGACTCTGTCACCATGTGGGAGACCTAAATGAAGTTCCTGACTCCTGGCTCTGTCTTGTCCCAGTCCCAGGCATTGCAGCCATTTGAGGAGTGAACCAGCAGATGTAAGATCTCCCTCTGTCTCTCCTCTCTGTCTTTCTCTAACTCTGACTTTCAAATAAATAAATAAATATTTTTAAAAAATAGACTACTCCCTGGACAGCACATATTATATCTGCAGTATTTCTTTGCAGAGGTTTTTAATAAGGGGGATTGCAATGCCATGTAAACATGTTAACAACACACAGCACTGAGCCACAGCCCCCAGAGGTGCTGATTTACTTAGACAAGAGCATGTGGGCTTTAGACATTTTTAAAGCTCACTAGGTCATTTGAAAGCACTTATTGTGAGGAACTTGTGGAAATCATTGCATGGTAAACTGAGTTTTGCATGGCTTTTCAGTAGTAAAACATCCAAGTACTCTTTAAGCAATCATGCTAAACTGGTAATAACTGAAATCAGAAGACTAATTTCATTTAACAGAAAGCTGAGGCCCCAGGATCTATTCCTTTAGTCAGCAGCAGGGATGAAGCAGCACTGAGAGTCCTGACAGCGCCCCACATCGTCCTGGCACAGCCTTGCAAACGGCCTGATGCTGCAGGAGTTGTGAAAATGTGGTCTGGAGGAAGGAAGCTAGTCTACAGTTACACCTGCCACCGCTGAGTCACAAGGGAAATGCTTCCTAGTCTGTCTCTCCTGATGGGACAATGTCTCCTCATACAACACACACAAGCACCATCTCCTTGCTTACAATGAGCCTGAGCTGCAAAGGAGGATCTGATATAGAAGCCCTGGCCACTCAGGAAGTGGATGTAAAGAGAACCTGGCCCCTTCTGGCCCAATAGGGAAAGACGGCGTAAACAAGGAAACAGGACATGGTCCTCATTCCCAACACCATCCTGCACACTCCTCCTTCTCACCCAAGTCAGGCTCAACTTCAGTGCAGCTTCAGAAATACTGGACTCTAGCTATGCAGACACGACACGGGAGGGTGCTGAGCCTGGTGGCAGATGCAGGAAGACACTTCCAGATGACTTCAGGCCCCACAGTCCCCTAGTGAACTCTGTCATGTTTTCATAAAATATTTGTAATTTTCAACATCAGTGTAGATCGGGGAGGCCAAAATTCAAAATTCTATCATTCATGACATTCAATTTAGTTTCATGCATCAAAATTCTTACAAATAAATAAGTTGGAAATTATCACCTTTAATACCACAACAACATTGGGTCGGCGCCACGGCTCACTAGGCTAATCCTCTACCTGCAGTGCCAGCACTCCAGGTTCGAGTCCCAGTTGGGGTGCCGGTTCTGTCCTGGTTGGTCTTCTTCCAGTCCAGCTCTCTGCAGTGGCCTGGGAAGGCAGTGGAGGATGGTCCAAGTGCTTGGGCCCTGCACCTGCATGGGAGACCAGAAAGAAGCACCTGGATCCTGGCTTCAGATCGGCACAACGCGCCAGCTGTAGTGGCCATTTGCAGGGTGAACCAACAAAAGGAAGACCTTTCTCTCTGTCTCTCTCTCTCACTAACTCTGCCTGTCAAGAAAAAAAATACCACATCAACCTGTAATGTAGCTATTTAAGAGGATGTTGAGTGGGACTTTCCAAGCATCCCACCATTTGCAAACAGGATCTTTTTATTTTTTTAAGAACGATTTCTTTTTCTTTTTCTTTTTCTTTTTTTTTTAATTTATTTTATTTATTTGAAAGACGTTACCGAGAGAGGTACAGACAGAGAGAGAGGTCTTACATCCGCTGGTTTACTCCCCAGATGGCTGCAACGGCCAGAGAGTGCACCGATCCAAAGCCAGGAGCCAGGAGCCTCTTCTGGGACTCCCACATGGGTATAAGGGCCCAAGGACTTGAGCCATCTACTGCTTCCCCAGGCCATAGCAGAGAGCTGGATGGGAAGAGGAGCAGCAGGGACTAGAACCGACATCCATATGGGATGCCAGTGCTTCAGACCAGGGCTTTAACCAGCTGTGCCACAGCACTGGCCCCTGCAAATAAGATCTTACATCTACAGATGAAGAAGTTTAAAAAAAAGTCAGCAACTAGGGCAAGGTTACCTCATGCATTAAGAAGCTACATACTAAGATCTTCCAACTTAACACCCTATTTGCCTCTGTACTGTCCTGTCCCTGTCACAGTCCACAAATAAGTACTGGGGAGGGGGAAGTCCGATGTCCCTTAACCTACAGGAAAGTATTGAATTTGGGGATGGTATTTCCCCTACCCCTCGGGGGAATCTAAGAGAGATTAGCGGATCTGAATAGAAAAAGTGTGGAGCAGGAACTTTTACATATTGTAATGCCTGGTGACTATCTGCTCAGCAATCGACTGTCTGCAGTAACCTTGACAGAGGAAAGGAAACGGGCAAGAAGAAGAACAAGTGTTGTCACTCCACAGATTGGCATGGAGGTAAATCCTCGGGGTCACACATTCCCATGGAGATTCTTGCCCTTCAGACCTCCACCCAAGAGGGCTGCCCCTTGAGCACACAGACAACAGCTGGGGGTATCCAAAGAGGAGTGGTTAGAAAGAAACTGACAGAGCATAATCTAATTTCTTCTCCAGAAGCAGGGACAGTGCATGAGGGAGTCCACCCTCCACAGAACTCACACTCAGGTAGCACTGGCCTGGCAACCAGTAAATGTGATCAAGAGTGACTTAACAGCTGCCAATTAAGGGACACTCCCCTGTCCCTTGTCCTCCTACTCAGCCCTACAGAACCTGAAAAAGCACAGGCAAGAAACATCTGAGAGAGTGTGCCTCCTCCTGCCCTGCACGCCCCAACACAAGGTACAGGGATGAGAGTAGAAAAATAAACAAATCTATCCCTTCCCATTTCACATCCCCAGAGACACACATCTGGCCAGTAAGAGAAGCAGATAGAGCTTTCAGTTAGATACATGGAATTTTCAAATGGTGAACTGTCAATGACCCACAGTGAGCAGAAGGCTGTGAAGTCAGCCAAGCTATCACCAAGTGATCTGCCCCCTGGGGAAGGGAGACTTCAACAAAGCACACGTGGGCACTCTGCCTGGAGAGAAACAGAATCATTCAATCTGCACTCCTGAGAGCTATACCTGTTCAATCAACAGCTTCAAGAGACCATTTGCTCCATTGTACAGATTCAGACATTCAGGCTCAGAAAGATAAAGAAGCATTCACCAACCCACAAAGCACTGGTGGCTCCCTGGAATCCAACCTCAGACTCGCCAGAGACCACGCTTTGTACCCTGCACAGGACTGTTCCAGGTGGGATCCAAAGACGTGTTTTCAGGGATCTGACATCCAACAAAGAACTGTTTTCCATGTTCAATTTTCATCTCCAGAGTGATCTTAAAATCCATCAGCATGGTCTTGAATAAGGGTCATCTTACAAGGGAAGGCTCTCCCTCCATGGCCAAAATTTGCATTTAGAACTGTACTGACAAGTACTGAATGCTGCAATCCTCATACACCAGTGACCAGCAGAAAAGAACACAGGGACAGGAGGAAGTCATGTGGGCATGCCCCTGGAAAGCCAGATGATGCGCTGCACACCCCGTAGCTGACTGTGGTGCAAACACAGCAACCTGGCAGGAGAAAAGGGGGCAGGGGGCACATGGAGATAATCCCAAAGAGCAAATGCCTCCTTCACATTCGCAGCTGAAGTTGGATTTCAGCAAAACAGATATCGCTCGGGTGAATTATGTTCATCCTGAAGGTCTGCATTTCATTTGCAAATTGTTTTCTTCTAGCACTGTGGAAGAGCTATAAGCACTTGCCTTCACCTGACAGTTTTCATTTATACACATTTTGGTAAAATACTCAGTATCAAGGGCCTATGGAAATGTCTGTTTCAAGTATCATTCTAATACCTATGCTGGAGAAGCTCCGTGTTGGGCCATTCTGCTTGAGTGACCACGAGTAGACATGTCTTGGGGTAGGCATTCGGTACAGCAGTTAACACGCTGCTTGGGGTACACACATACCATAGTGGACTGCCCAGGTTTGAGTCCTGGCTCCACTTCCTAGTCCAGCTTCCTGCTAACACACATTCAGAAGACAGCATGGGATGGTTCAAGTTGTCAGATCCCTGCCATCCACATGAGAGACCCAGATGAGATCTAAGCTCCTGACTTCACTCTGACCTAAGCCTGGGTGTTGCAAGCATTTGGGGAATGAACCAGCATATGATCCGTCTCTGTCTCTATTTTTGACTTGCTTAACTTACAAATATATATAAATCATTTTAAAAAACCCATGACTTCAGATACTATTTGTTGACACAGGAAAATATTTTCAAAACAAGGTGGTACAGTCATGCTCCCACTTTGTAAAATACACACAGCACACACAGGCACAGAGACAGAAGGTATGAGATACCCTAAACTCTTCACACTTCTACTTTTGTAGCAGTATTCAGGTGTCTTCTACTAACATGGCTATTTATCTTCTTGTGATCCACTGTGCTTACAATAACTTTATTATAGGAGTAAATTTAAGCATCACCCCCACAATTTAATTTTTACATCCCATCCTGCGATCTTCCCAAATCAAGTCATTTAAAAAAAAAAAAAACTCATGAATTCAATTCCAGCTGAAGTACATCTCCAAGAAAATGTAACCAATTCTAGAGTAATATTTGCTCAAAACTTAAGCACGTAAAGTATTAACCAACCAATGACTTACCGTGGTTTAGGTACCCAGCTGCAGAGAAGAACAAAGGACATGCTGCACTCCAGAACTTCTGGGCTGGAAGGGAAGCAGAGTGTAACCCAAGTTACTGAGCAATACTAACCCATAACAGCAACACAGTAGAGTGCAGGAGGGGTCTCACGGCTCATTCTGAAGGGAGGAGGGGACAGGAGAGGCTGTCAGAGGTGCCATGTGACCCTAGGCCCAAGAACACATAAGGAAAACAGCTCAGAAAGGTAAAGTGGCAGACTGCCAGAAATAAAATCTAACTAAAGGTCTGAGCATGAGGAACTCACTGAAAACACTGGACCAGTTCCTCTGGGCTCCTACAGCTCTGCTCATTGTCTCGGTGCTGCGTACCACACAGCATTGTAATTCACACTGCTTCTCCACCAAGACCACAAACTCACAGTGGCACACAGTGTATGCTGCAGACTCTTCCTTTTTGTTAGGGGCAGTACCTTCAGACTGACTTCGAACAGCTTCCACCTCAACACATTGCAGCCAATGTTAGTATCCGAGAAGGTGTTTAAGGTGTGGATATTTAGCCTGTACCCAACTTTCCCTCTGGAAACTTTTATCAAAAGATCAAAGCAACACTCACTTCTGGACTTCTCATATCAAAATGATTCTCTCTACTGTATGTAAAACTTAGCTCCTTCTCTTGCTCTTGCAAGCCAGCGGGGCTCCAACTACACAGTCTCCCAAGGCAGCCTACAAAAGACAACATATTGCCCCCAAAAACCTTCCAAGTAAACTGTGGCAGCATTTAACAACCCGAACTGCTACAGCTCATCAGCTGGTCTAAAACTCTCAGGTGTGTGTCTGTGCTACACAACAGCCCTGGTCAGCAGGGAGACCCACACCTGATGAGAGAATGTCCACTCCCTGGGGGAGCCTGGAGGGAGGGGAGCTGAGCTGGGCTTTGGCATTCACAACTGACTGGGAAGCTGTTCATCAGAATCTCACACATGAATCCCTACACCGTCAGCATTCCCAAAGTTCCCAGGGACTGGCCACAGTCACAGCTTCTGACAAATGCCCACGTGGTTTCATCCCCTTTATTGAGATCAGAGGACCCTGGAGATGCACCTTTGAAGAAAAGCTAATCCCCACAACTTGGGATATCCAGCTTGGGAATTTCACTGACATCATCAGCTACAACCTGCTCAAAACTGAAGGGGATGAGAAGGCACCCAGGTTCCTGTTCAGAGGGCCTGTGGCCAGTTAATAAATATAAACCTGTGTCCTCCTCTATCACTGCCTCCCCTCCCCTGATAGAAATACCAACTGTGGGCTGACCCTGAATGCAGATTTTCTTTCACATGCTGGCCTGTAAATTCTAAGAGCAGCAAAGTAGGGCACATTATTCTAACTTCACAGATGAGGCAGCAGGCTTATAAAGTTAAGACACTGGCTCAGGGACCCGAAGGCCTTGAAGCAGGAAGGCAGGCCTTCTGGAGACACACACAGTGTGCACACACATTGGTGCTTCACACAGAGCAAGCCGCTCTGAGAGACCAGAGGGATGCTCCTCCCACATCCCTATCATCCCGCATCCAAGGCCTCTTACAGCACATACCCCAAGGCTCTCTACTTACTTCCAAACCTTTTCCTGTTTCTACTGCAGATGCCTCCACTCTAGATGAATTTTCAGTGGCTCCCATATCCTACTTTAAATCCTATGTTCCTTCCTACTCACTTCTCCACCTGCTATTCCAGGAAGTCCCTGTATCTTCCACACCAGGGCTCTCATCATCCTGCAACTTGAGGCCTGGGTCATAGAACTGCAGGAGGACAGGATTCTCTTTCAATTATGCTTCAGTCTCCCTCATCTGAGAACCCCCTCAAGGATGACGGCACTGCAGGCAATTCTATTCAGAATTTAATGTTGTCCACAGTTTCAAAGGATCAGCAGACTTTTTAAACTTACTTTTCAGAAAAGTTAAAGAACATGTGGTTGCAATGGACTGAATATAAAAGCAAAAATATAAATATATCCACCACCCCAGAATTCTTATATTAGAATACTAACACCACCCACAAAGACAGTATCAGCAGGAGGATCTTTGGTGAGGTCAACACGCGCCTACTATGTGGTAAGAGCAGGAAATTGCAGGCACAGTCAACTGGGATACGGTCAGAAGTTCAACTACATCAACTCCCGTGTAGCGTGAACTGAACAGTGACAGAAGAGGGGCAGTCACCTGGACTGCAGCCAGGAGTTCCTAAAGAAAGATCAACACACACCTAGCAGGCAACCTGGCAAGGACTGCACAGTTACCTAGAGAGCGGTCAGCCGTTCCTAAAACACATTGCCTGTGGCTTTCTCAGGGAATAGACTGGCACAGACACTGAGGACATTGTTGGCTGGTCCCCAAGCATGTCAACACACAGCATCTACACCATGGCTGGACAATGAGAGAATGGACAAGCACGGCCACCCTGCACAGTGGGCAGTCACTCCTATACAGAGTCAACACCTGCTTACAATGGGATCCAGGCAGTGAAGGGCCAATTAGCAATCACTAGGACAAAGGCAGGTGGTCCATGAGTCAACTCAAACCTGCTGTGTCATCTCCACCAAGGAGCACAGAGTCCTTGAGGATAATGGTCGGCAGCAGAACCTGGGCACTGGCGCTCTCCCCACCCCCGATGCCTCTGCCTTCCTGCTTCTGTGCCCTTTTCCTGTGCACGCTGGGTCATCCTCACCTGCTGCTCTTCCCACGCGTTCTGCTCCAAGCACGGGTGTCAACCAAGCACAGTCAGGCTGCTGTGACGGAGGTGACAGGCAGGCAGATGGGGGAACCACCAATACGGCCATGCTGCCTGCGCCGCCACTGCCTCGGCCTCATCCCTGGGCCCCTGCACCATCCACGGTTTTGGGCCTCCTGAAGACACTGGGGAAACTCACCCAAGCAGGAGCCCCATGCCCTTCCAGGCCCCTCAGCCACCAGCCCCGTCCTTCAGGTCGTTTGAACACTGTGCATGCGTGTGTAACTGCGCATAGGGCCTTCGCACGCTGCTCCCAGGGGGCATGGTCGGGGTGGGTCCAAGCATCCGGAAACCAGGCAGATTTCTGGCCTGTGGCACCGAGGCCCCGGGGGCCCTCAAGAAGCCTAGGGCTTCTGGGCCTCTGGCTCCTCCAGGGAGCTGCCCTTGTTTCCCAGCAGACCAGAAGCGGCCCCTGGCTCCAGCCCCTGCAGGACTAGGTCTGCAGAGAGCAGCAGGCACTCCTGTGGGTGCCACCTGAGGATTCCATGCGCTGTCCATCAGGCTGCATGGGTTACAGAGCCTCGTGACCAGCAGCACGAGTGCGGAGAGCAGCAGATGCGGACTGAATGGGCAGCAGAGAGGGCCAGGGCCCTGGCAGGCAGAGCTTGGGCCCCGGGAAGGGGATCCCCTTGGAGGCCACTGCTCCGGTTCTGCCAGGCCCTCCTGGTGATCAGAGTGGAGTGGAAACCTGGAGCTGTGGGGACTCCATCCAAGCTGAGGGCAAACCCAGGAGCCAGACACGGGATGGGGTCTGTAGTCCCCACTTCCACTTCTCTGCAGCCAAGGCTGTGGTGTGGGGCGAGTGCAGGCTTCGCATTGTTGCTGCTCTGTGTTTTGGAGCAGCGTGTGGAGGACTTCACAGCACCAGACCTTTCCCTCCAGGCACACGGCCCTCCCCACCCAGCCAGTCCATGGCCCACTGACCTACAGTCTCCCTTGGGGTGCAGGGCAGTGCCAGGCTGGGCTCTGAGAGGGGCAGGTGAGGATGTCAAGCACCCTGGGGCAGCAGGCCCCACTGGCCCTCGAGTTACCATGGATGCTGATGCTCTGCAAAGCAGTCCCTGGGAGGGAGGGAGGGAGGGAGGGAGGGAGGGAGGGAGGGAGGGAGGGAGAGAGGGAGGAAAGAGCAGGGCAGGCCAGGCCTTTTCTACTCATGCTGCCAGGACCCGGCATGGGGAGAGGCAGCTTTGCTGGGGATAGGATCTGCTGACCCTGACGGCCCAGTTCTCCCCCAAGTCCCATGTTCTTCTACTCACCAGGGGAGCACGGCAGCCACCCCAGAGCCTAGGCTGGGCAGTGCTTGTAGGAATCAGGTTCCCAGATTGGTACTCCATGCTCTGGCTAGTTGACCATTACTACAGCAGCACACCCTGTTCCAGTGTCTCCCAGGCAATTGGAGTAATCGGACAGGACTGCCCAGGAGCCAGGAGGGTGCGTCCAGGCCCAAGGACTGCCAGACGTGCCACCCCGGGGCCTTCTGTGGCAGAGCCAGCCTGGCCAAGAACCAGGGGCTTTTGCAGCAGTGCTATCACTGTGGGCCTGGCTCCAGCACCATGGCCCTGGTAAGTGCGAGCCCAGAGACAGGCCAGGTCCTGCCTTCTGCCTGATGGAGGCAGAGCAGCCTGGCAAAGATGGGCTGAAACGCTTGCAGACAGAGCAATTAGAAACCTGGCTGATAGGAGACGCTGCAACAGTACAGAAGGGGCCCAATGGCTGATGTGCAGGCTGCACTGGAAAGGGCTGGCTACAAATACGTATGACGTCAGCCAGGAAAGGGCACAGGGGCTGACAGCAGGGCACAGGAGGCAGTGCTGTGTGGGTGCCCTGTGCATGCACTAACCAGGGAGAATCCAGGCAAGTGGTGGATTGACAGCCACAGCCCAGCAGCAGCCTGGGGCCTGGGATTCCTTGCAACAGCCTCAGGCAGTTCGCATCCATCGATGGGATCATTCCAACCTGAGGAAGGACCTGAAAGGGGGAAAGTGTTCCAAATACGTCCAAAGCTGCTCAACACAGCTTCCTCAGAGAGGGGCTCAGTGGGCCGAGAAGGGAAGTCAGTGGAAGGCCTGGACAGGTCCCTCTTCTTCCAAGAGGGGATCCCCTCTGCTGACCTGTGCTCCTCTGGTCATTTCTGCCCTGCTGGCACCAAGGACCCCAGGGAGTGGCCCTGCCTGGCCGGCTCCTGGGATGTGAGATGGGGCCTTCCTTGCTCACCTAGGGTGTTTTGTGCTTTGGAGGGCAGGCTGGGCTGCCCCTGGGGGCCCCTGTGCACCAGGTGAGGGTGCCTTGGGAAACGTGCCCAGCAGTCCTGAGGGAGAGGCACACAGAGAGGACTCAGGGCCCATGGCTGTGTGTGTGGACGTGGGAGGAGACAGGCTGGAGGCTGACCAGGGTGGGGAGGGGGTCTGCACTGCCCCAGCTCTCTGGGCTGAGGGACAGGAATGTTCCCAAGGAAGAGGTTCCTAGCTGCTCAGTCCTTGGAAGCCCACCTCCTCTTGGGACCACCCCTTGCCTGGGCTCTGAGGAAGGGGCTGAGGGTCCCCAAGGGCCAGCAGGCTACCTGAGGGCTGTGAGCAGTCTGGGGCCACACATGAGGGGTGAGCACTGTCCCCCACCTCCCTGGCCTCCTCTCAGCCTTCCTGACACACAGGGACACGGATGTGCAGCCGCGGATTTAAAGGGGCCCCACGTGATGAATACACTGGCAGCCCCAGAGCCGGACCCCATCATGGCAGCAGGGATGCCCCAGGCCCCATGTGCTGGGAGGTGGGCCCGAATGGGCAGGGCACACAGCAAGGACACAGGTTCAGGCCAGCCCAGGGGCCACCAGAGTTGCCATGGAAACATGCTAAGCTCTGGGTGGGGCCTAGGGGTGAGCAAAGTCTCTTTTTCTCCAGGCCAAGAGACCCACCAGGAGAAAATCTGTGTCCCCAGGGCATATTCATCACCAGCAGGCTGAGGCCAGGCCAGGGCTGTCCCCCAAGTCCCAAGTGTCTTTTTCTTTTAAGATTTACTTATTTATAAGGAATGCAGAATGATACAGAGTCGAGGAGGGACAGATAAAGATTAGAAAGATATGAGAGAGAGAGAGAGAGAGAGAGAGAGAGAGAGAGAGAGAGAGAGATTGAGAGAGAGATTGAGAGAGAAATATCCCATTGGCTGGTTAACTCCCAGATGGCCACAGCAGCCGGGTCAGGGCCGGGAGAAGCCAATGGTCAGGAACTCAATCCATGTCTTTCTGCGGAGGAGGGGCACATGGCCAAAGCCGCAGGTTGCACCCCCAAGAGCTCAGAGAACGTGGGGCTCTTACCTGGAACTCAAGTCCAGAGTGCCTTGCTCCTAGAGCCTTCTGGCATATCCTGGAGGAGGCTCCTTGCACAGCCCTGTCTGGCCAGCAGGGGGCAGGCATAGGTAGAGTCCCAGTTCTTCAGGAGTCTGAAAAGTTGGCAAATAGACTTTAAACTGCTCTAGAGATATGTTGCGGAGTCAGGGTCCTGTTTTCTCCAGAAACTTGAACACCAGCAAGGACCTTTGTAAACATTCTGTGGCTTTGTGGTCCCCAGGCCCAAGGCCACCCAACCCAGGGTCAGATTCCCCAGCTTGGGGAGCCGGGAGTGGCTGTTTCAGCTCAGGGCAAGTTGACCGAGGACCAGCCCTGCAGCAGAGGTGCGGGGAGCCCCAGCCACACTGTGCCTCCTGTCCAGCCCCTGGAATCAGGGGTCCCCAGGAAGCAGCAGACAGGGCCCCCTCCTCTGAAGCTTCCTTCTCAGGCACTAAGTAAGCCATCCAGGGATGGCTTCTCAGGTCTACTGCAACTCCAGAGTCCCTGACCCAGAGCCTGGGCAGCTGCCTGCCCTGCCCACCCCCCCGCCACCCTGCCACTGCTGAGAGCAGGAAATCTGACCCAGGCCTCGGGGCCTTGTGACCCAGCTGAGTCTCCATCCTAAGGAGCTCCCCACCTCCATCTCTGTACTTTGCATTTCCAGTCCTGGGCCTGGGTTGCCTGGACGACTCCTGGAACTGCTGTGGGGATGACTGGGCTTGCATCCCATGGAGCTTGGCCTTTGCCCCTGAGACCACCCCTCCCTGCAGGCTGGTTCTGCATGTTGGCGGCATGGACTGCCCGCCCCTTCAACCTGGACAACTCCACCTGCACCTATTTACCGTGGCCCACCACAGCCACAAGGGAGACGTGCTCACCAGCTCCTACTGCCCCCAGGGCAGCCCAGAGCTCACGCCCTGCCCACCCAGCTCCTTCTGAGCCACCTCTAGTAAGGAGCCATTGAGCTTCCACCCCTGCCCGACCCCTGGACCCCTAGGAGAAGCAGTGTGAGTGCGACTCCCAATGAGTGTCTTTGCAAAATGAGACTCTGCTACACAATGGATGTCGTTGCCCTCAGTGGGGGCTGCACACAGGCAGTCACCACAGAGTAGCATGGGGCGTGGCCAGGTGGGCAGGTCTCTGTGCAGAGGGGGGACTTGGTAGCACCTTGCTCACCTCCCCCCACAAGGCCCTGAGTGCCCACATTTCCCGAGAGCCTACGTGGGCAGACAGCACTGGTCCCTAGGACTCCGGTGTACACCCATTCTCCCTGTTCTAATTGGCGCTCAGTTCCCATAGGGCCTGGGCACTCTGGGACATCGGGACCCAAGCTGCAGGGAGCTGAACTCTTGCTCCAAATTCAGCTCTGTGACTTTGTGACGATGACCACAGGCTCTCTGTGAACAGCAGTGGTGCCTGTGACACACGGGTGGGCAGGAAGGGACAGTGAGATGGAACGCTCGACTCAGACTCAGGACAGGCTCAGCACAGGTCAGTCCCAGTCAGGGACCTCAGCCATACTCAAGACCTCTCCAGACTGACACCCCCAGGGACCCCAGTCTGCCCCATGGCCTCTTCCAGTAAGTCTACTCAGCACCCAGCCCGGCCCCCTCTCTCCCAGGCCTCTCCACACCTGGTGGTCCTTGCCGGGCTGGCTGCTTCTGTGCAGATAGCACAGCCTCCTCGGCCCAGAGGACGGAGTGACGGGGCCCCTGATCCCCAGGATCCTTTTGCTGTGTCTCCTTGAGCACCGCTCTCAGCCCCACCTGCCCATGCCCCAGGACTGCAGACGGACCCGCTGACTTACCCTGCATAGGGGACAGTGGGGAGGAAGCCAGAGGGAGGGGAGGGGAGCACTGGGGGGCGGGCCAATGTGAAGCATCCTGCAGCAGGGCGTGGCTTCAGCACACACTGGGCATCTGCTGTGGTTTCAGTGGTTCTCTGGGGGCAGTGACAGTGGCCTGGTCTCACCGGGAGCAGCTCTGGCTGGTCGGGGCCTTGTGGGTCTACCCCAGCTGCAGGTGAAGGGCCTGGGTCTCTGGTGCCCCAGAGGGCTCAGGGGTGTGGTGCATGGAGGGTTGGGCAGCAAGAGTCCTACAGGTCCGTGGGTTCCACGGTCACCCGTGCTCTGGGGCTGCATACACTCCCACTGCCCAGAAGGAAAGTCTGCGCCTGGATCCATGGCTCCACTGTGCCCTCAGCTGCAGGTTCCCGCAGGCCCATGCTAGGCCCCACGGGTACCTTCTCCAGCCTCCCCAAGCAGCCAGGGCCCTGAGTGCCAGCACTATGCACCCGGCTCCTGCTGCAAGGAGGTCAGACTCCAGGCTCACAGTGGGCAGTGCCCAGCAGGTGAGAGGAAGCAAGATGGGACAGGAAAGGGGAAAGGCTGGTAAGAGCCCAGGCAGTACTCTGAGACTGGGCTCCATGGTGCAGCCCCAGAACCCCTCAGACAGGAGACACTGCCAGGACTGCATCTGGGGTGTCCTCATGGGTACTACTACCCCTGGGCACAACCAAAGCCACAAGTTAGCACTGCCCAGTGGGCACTTACGGCCCTCAGAAGGGGCTGGTGTGCGTCACCGAATGCCAGCTGTGCCCTGCAGGGAAATTCTGTGCACTGGCTGGACTCCCACACCAACAGGTACAGAGGAACCAGAGTGTTCTGGGGGAAGAGAGAGCCAGGGGCAGGGATGGACTTCAGGGACAGGGCCCAGGATGAGGACAGGAGGCAGGAAGAGTCTCCCAGCCTGATGGATAACCCACGCAGTCAGGGCAGAGCGGGCTTCTCAGCTGTTTGCTCCCCACCCCCAAAGACCCTCCCCTTGATCACACTGGGAGTTTCTGAGGACAGACAGTGGCCCAGCCCCCAGTGCAGGGCTGGGCCTTGGTGCCTGGTTCCAGAAAGCTCTGCAGGTACTTCTGACATCGCCCAGTGCTGGGAGCCCTGTCCCTGCCCCCTGTACTGAAGCAGAGCTGCCCTGTGGCCACATTCACCATAGGGAGGGGGTCAGCACAGGTCCAGGCTCTCCCTGGGGAGTCTCAGCATCTGTCCCCTCTGAATCCTGGGTCCAGGCGAGGGGACATTTGGGAGACTGCCCTGTGAGAGAGCTGGGAATGTTGTCCGTAAGGAAAATGCAGGCCTGGCCATCCTGGGGCTCTGTGGAGGGCGCACCTCCGATTGGGCCACACTCGCCTGTAGTTCCTGGGCCTCCATGCTGACTGACGAGGGGAAAACAGCAGGCCTGGGTCAGGGACTCCTGCCATCCTTGGCCAGCCTGTGGGGGAAGCGCGAGGCACCCAGACCCCATGTGGCAGCCTCGAGGGAGGAGTGTGGGCACCACGCTGAGCAGTCCCCTCCCGCAGGGAACTGCACCACAGGGCACTGCTGCTGCCACTCAGGACGATGATGTGGGAGCTCTGGGGACTCACAGCACACGGGGTTTCCCAAACCCACCGGCAGAGGAGCATTCTGTGGGACTGAGACCCCTGGGACCCTAGTTGGTGAGACAATCTGGCTGCCAAGACCAAGGCTGCCTCGTGATCCCCAGTAATGCCCCCCATCCCCTACAGTTGCCCTGCCCTCCTGGGGGGACAGCCCAGGTCACAGCTACACCCATGTTGGAGGAACAGAAAGTGGTCCCAGGTTCTGGGGTTCTGGCTGGAAGAAGGTAGGGAAGCCCCCAGGGGGAAGCAGCCCCCTCTCTTTGCTTTTCCAGACAACCTCTGTCCCCCTGGACACTCATGTCCCCCAGGTAGTGTGGAGCCCCCACTCTGCACCACTGGGCAGTTTCAGGATGAACCTGGATAGAGCATCTGCAAGACGCACCCTGTTGGGAAGTGAGACGCTGTCACCTGGGCTGAGGCCCTGCCTCTCTGTCCTGTGACTTCTGACAGTCCCTGCCACTCTGAGGACAGCAAGGGCCCAGACACATTACAGGGAGCTCATGGACAGTAGCCACCAGCCAGCGATATCCTAGCCTTCCGCCCTGCAAAGCCCAGTGCAATGACTCCTCCAACACCAATACAGGGCCTCCGTGGGCTGCAGCCTCCTGCCAGAGCTCAGTGGACACAGCCCACTGCCCATCCGATGTCCATTTCCCCCGACTATGGATGGGCTTTGGGGTTTTCATGTCTTCCTAAATCCCTGGGGTTCCAGAAGCTTCCTGCCTTCTAGGAAGCCTGTGAATGCAGTCAGTCAAACCCTCAATCCTGACACCCACTGTGTCCACAGGTTCTGTCCCTTTGGGACCCAGGGAGTACTGCCATATGGCCAGTGGACTGTCCTGCTGGCTACTACTACCCTCTGGGCACCCCGAGCCCTGCCCAGCACCTGTGTCCTGGGGGCTCCTTCCGAGAGAGGCCTGGTGCACGCAGCTTCAAGGACTGTAGACCCTGTCCTGCAGGACACTGCCACACCGACTCCGTGACCAGTGACAACTGTCTGGGATTTTCATGTCCCTGGCTGGCAAATGGGCCAACATCCTAGATGCCCTCCTATGCAGTACATGTGAGCTACAGTTCCATGTGGCAGGCCCAGGGCCGGGAGAGAGGTCAGAGATAAGACATGGAGGAGACACAGCAGCTGTGCCAAGGCCCACACGTGCTGAGCTCCAGCAGGTGGATTCTTTATTTTACCATAAGATAAAATTGAGTTCACTGTAAAAGTAAAAAGGTCATAAAAGACTTTTCAGATTATCATTTATATTACAGCAGAAAATGGCTTTAATAAGATTTACAAATGAGGCTTTCAGGAAAATATTTTTGGGAGAAGCATTATTCTTGGGCTCTTTATAATTTTATTTAAGGAATACAAACTTCATGCATTTCATATATATAAATTCAGGAACATAGAGATTCTTCCCACCCTGCCTTCCTCTTCCCTACCTACCCATACTCCCACCCTTCTTACTCCTGTCTCTCCCATTCCCATTCTTATTTTTTTACAAAGATCTATTTTGAGTTAACTTTATACTCATAAGATTAATCCTACACTAAATAGAGTTCAACAAATAGTATGAAGAAAAAAAGAAAAAACAAACAAAAATATTGTTCCTCGACAGTCAAGACAAAGGTGTTCAAAATCGTCACATCACAAAATGTCAATTTCACTCCT